TGGTCGCTGGGCAACCAACCCATGTTGTGATATAGCTATGTGCCCCTCGACAGTAGATGACTCTCAAGTTCTTGTTTTGCTCATCAGCAATGTCCTGCAAGGCGCATTCTACATTTGTAGAAATATCAGGGATGGGTCCATAGAGCTGTGATTGGATTTTGGTTGTCTCCAAGAGATGTTAAATATCGGTCTCGGCATCCGAGTGTAGATATTATTAAGCTTAGATTCTAGGATTTTTGTTAATGCTCAAGCAGTGTCACCGTACATGAACCCAGGCTCGAAAGAATCTTCGTTTGAGGTTGCCTGGTAGATCAGATTTTCAGGTTACATCCATTTTTTATTCAAGGCTGTCCAGGCTTTAGCTATGCGAATTTTCACACCTAGAATTTATTTCGCTTCCAAGGTATGTAAAAGATTCAAATGATTTTATTTATTCATCTGAGACAATTTGTATTAAGCCTTGCTGATTGAAGCCTATAAATTCAGTTTTAGAGGCATTGACATAGAGTCCGACATCTTTGCCAGCATTTTCTAGATGAAGTAGTATCGTATATCCATCTTTTTTTTTTACATGACATCGACTTGATAGAGTTACTGATGAAGAGAAACCTGGATAATGATGTTTGTTGAGGAAAGATCTGAATAATAGACAAAGGTGATAACAAAGAGAAAAGGTGCAAGTGTGTTACTCTGAATGACCCCTATTTTGATATCGAAGAAGATAAGTTCTCCGTTTCTAACTAAAAATATGGTATTGCTTTAAAATTACATAAAAAGTTCATTTATATACGAAAATTATTTTTTCTTTCAATTCGGATTAGCTTTCGGCCATCATCTTTCAAATAGAACTGAAATTTATGTTCAAAGAAGGCACTGAAATTATTTAAATTGTATTTTTAGAAAGTCTGCTGCGAAACATATCATAAGCAATAAACTGATCCGAGTAACTGTAATTAAAAGTTTTGAAAAAACAGACATTTTCCGTGCATTTTACATTTGCTCTCAATACATAAATTCACTATAAAAAAAAGAGATGAAAGCATCACTTCCTCTTACGTATTTTGATAATTTAAAATTTTTAAAAATAGATTAGAATAAAAAACAAATCTTTATAAAATAGTAAATAATAAATCTTTATAAAAGGTAAATGATAAATATCGCATATTTTTATAATAACATATTTTTATAATCTTGTAAATAAACATTGCCGAAGGAGTCAAAACTGTGGAATTTTTCCAGGGAATAATCGCCATTTTGATACTCGGTTTTATTTTTATTTTGAGGTCACGAAAGTTAAACATCGCCGAAATTTCTGACAAACATTTTTTCCAGTTAATATGAGCGATTGATTGGTTGTTCTCTTTTAACGGCATATCAACTCTGTCCATTATTTAATACCGAATTTTTTTTATTAATATATGATCTGAAAACTGTCTTTTAGTTCGCTGTTTCCATTCCACTCGTTCTACTTCTGGAACGGAGTTTATTTAGTGCTATCATTTTTGGTATAGATAAACCGCTTTAAGTAGGTTAGGATAATATCTACTTTTATCTTCTTGAAAAGATCCCCTGGGTTAGTCATGTCCTAAAATCGTTGACGAATGGTGGCAAGGTCACTACAATCAGTTAGAATATATTTTACGATACATGCTTCCTGAAAAGCTGTGCATTCAGGAGGATCAGAACCGGTGAGTAAGGCCTGACTGAGGCTCCCGGGCAGTGCTTTGTGACCCTCACTATCTCATCGACATTTGCTTTTTTCTACCTACATTAGTATACGTTACAAATTAAGCTATGCACAACTAACTATTAAAAGATGAAACATTTTTCGCGGTTTTTAATGTAACTCTTGGTTGTCCCCCCCTCCCAATTGCATCAATTTGTTTTGCTCATGCTCAGTCTGGAAAAAATATTACAAAAGATTCACTATTTTTTATCCATATGTTAAATTCGTTAAAATTATTCAACATTTTGACAAGAAAATGACAAGTTGATGTTAAAAATAACCGCAAGACATTGGCAATTTATTTGAGATGGAAGGATCTATTAGGCATTCCATTAATTTGTATTTAGTTATATTGATTATTTTCATTTCTTCTAGCTGAATTCTTCACTTATTTTGTATATGATCTATTATTGTACATAATTATGTTGTAATAAAATTTGTATATGAAAACTACCTTACGACAATTGAGTAGCGTAGGGTCCGTATCATAGATGGTCGGAGGGTAGGGACCTTTACATCAGTCCTGAGGAGGAGGTTAATTTTTTAGTAGAAATGAGTGACTGATATTATGAATGATATTATGAAATGAGTGTGTCCAATTATGATTCTTAATAGGACAACTTCTTCCTTCCGCGAACTTTTGAGACCATGATGCGTTTCTCCAAGAATGAGTTTCATTTTGTAAATTTTGTTTGGTTGTTAGTTTCTATATTTCTTGTTACTTGTTTATAATGTATGAGTTTATAGTAGCTTTTAAGTCTGTATAATGGATTTTCAAATTTTTATTTTTAGGGATTTCTTCGCTGTCATGGCAGTCTTTCCATTTCCACCGATGCCAATACAAATGCGTAAGTAATGGCCTCCAGAGGAGGCACGATGGAGTAATGGGTAGCGGCTTGGATTGAGGAATCGGAGAGCCGAGTTCGAATTCCAGTCGAATCCATTACATTAACTTACGTGCTAACACCCTTGGGAAAGGCGTGAATCCTCTTTCTTCTCCCTCCAGCTATGGGTAAATAGCAGGACAGACTGGGTTCTATAGCCTTGGGTGGCAACTGGTCTAGGAGAAGGACAACTCTGAATTCAAACCTGCTCTTAGAGGAGGGTGAATGGAGTCTCTCTGAGCCTTGGTTGGCAATCCATTTAGTGTTGGTGTCACGATAAAAACACCCTTGATAGCCCTAGCGAAGCATCAAGAATTCAGCTATTTGACAAGATTATGAACTACACTAATCAAAGTATTGGTGAGTTCCATCTCGGCTGAGGCCGCAAGATGATGAATGGCCTCAAAGTTCGATATATAGATGAATGTTCTCTTAAATTTTTCCATCATAGCAATATTTGATTAGAACATAAAGTCAGGAATGTTATTATTGCACAATACCACAAGTGTGAATATAGTAACAAATGCTCACTGCTTAAGAACTCTGTTGCTTATTTGTTACTAGTAATTGTACACAGTTTACGTTTGTGTATCTCAGTGCATTGTGAAAACAGCTTAAGATAAAATAAATATATTTACTTTATTTACATTTGAACTATTGTACCTATCCTTGTTGTAACTATTACATATTTTTGGCCGTTGTGCTCTCCGGCCTTCATCGTAACCTTCAGTAAATTTCGAAATAAATCTTTATTTTTTCTACGGGGTATATTTTTCACCATCTGCTGCCCCTGCCTAGACTCCGTGGAAACAGGGCGACTAATAACTGAATCATACTAAATAAAAACGAAACTAAATATCTCCAGTTATAAAATGGAGACGAACACAACCTAACCCCGTAAATTAAATAAATCAGTCAGTTATGTGCCATGCGTGATACATGCGTAGGCTATCATGTATTATTCGATAAATGACTGACGAGGCAGTAAGTAAATGTAATGGATCCAACTGGAATTCGAACTCGGCTCTCCGATTCCTCAATCCGCGTCGCTGAGTAGTACAGACAACTAAGCAGTACTAAATAAAAACAATAAAGTTTATCAGTTTCCACTGATACTGTTTTTTTATAAACTCTCACTGTTGGAATCTAGATATCAAAAATTCACTTTTAAAATATTCACAGAAAGATTTTATTTTATTTTCTTAAACCCAAGCAACATTTTGGAAAAAGATAGTGAAGAGTTATTGGCTTGACTCACCTCCAAAAATCTAAGTAAATTATATCAGAATTTTTTTTTTATTTTGGAAGTGATGGTTGGACAAAGAACTTTTCAGCATTCTCTTGTATAAAACAGAGTACCTTACAACTTGATATTTCGTTTAACTTTCGTTAATAATCCATAGCACTTTTGGACATTCACCCTTTTCTTACTATTGTAATAACAATGCTTAATATATTGTATCGTCAATTTTAACGTTTCTTTCTTTTAAATTCCTATAGTTTAAATTTTCTTTTGCTATCTTACAAATATAAAAAAATATAATAGGTGAATTACGTTCAAAAGTAGTTTGTTTTCAGCTTTCATTAACGTCTTTAGAAAGCCATAAACCACCTCTTCCATCGCATTCAGTCATAAACCGTGCGTTATACAATGTTTAGGCGATCATGTATCATTCGTATATATATATATATATATATATATATATATATATATATATATATATATATATATAAAGTTTTAGTGCTACAAGTTGAATACAAATTATTCGAACGTGACTAGAATCGGAACAAAGAATTGACAGTTGACGACAGCTGTGAATATGTGAACAGCCTGTATTGTTACGGACCTTCATCTAAGTTCTTTCTAAAATCTGTGTCCATGCTTATATTCTGGAAGCATTTTAAATAAAAGGCAGTACTCTCAGAAAGTGTAGCCAATGAAGAAGTGGAAGAAAGTAAAATCGAATATTAGCAAATTTTGACGAAACTTGCATGCATTTGAGCAAAGATTGTACATTCTCATTTATGTTTTGATCACGTGTTGACAACGTGATCGTTTCGACCGTGAACTCTCTGAAACTCTGCGAAAGAGAAAAAAGGTGAGTGACCTCTTGTCGCCCACACAGGAAAAAAGTCCATATTTGAAATCAATGACGAAGAGATGAAACCAAGTCGCGAAAAACGAACGGCACAAAGTTAGTTCGGCTTCGGTAGCCAGAGTGGACTGGTTCGCGATAAATGCGATAATCAGCTATAAATTCGCGTATGCGAAATAATCTTCCTTACTTACACTGAATGGATTGTTTGGCAGGAAGGCGACAGCCAGCTATCAATTTAGAATAGAAAACTAAGATGAATTCATAGCTCAAACAACTTTAACAACATTTAACCGCAAAAAAGAAGTAAATTTTGGCACGAGAGAAGAGAAGTTGTATCAAAACTAGAAGAAAGATACACGTTATCTTGAGAGCTACGAAACGACAGCTTCAATTGTTTCGTCACTGAGAACATAGACAAGAAACGAAAGAAGTAAGATATGAAAAGAAGCGAGAAGAGAAGGAAAGAGAAAAGAGATCTACATGAAATATAAAACGTAAAAAAGAAAAGAAGAAACAAACATAAGATACATTAAGCTAAAAGAAGATAAAAAGAAATGTAACTTTGATAATAATCAGATAAGTCATTGTTTCTCTTTGCTCAATGTATTTTGTCATGTTGCAAATTTGCATGCAGGCCTGACCTAAGATTTTCTATTAATCATCTAGTTACATTTTTGAGAGGATAAATCTCCCCACCACCACGTTATTATGTCCAACAACATTTCTTTTTGACTTATTGTTTTTTGTTTTGGCCGTATCTTTCATATTGTTTTCCCACTGTATGATACAGTCATAAACTTATTTAATTGTTAATTCTGCCTCTGTTTTTCTGTTGTTTGCCACCCGCTATGTATGTTTATTAAGCAATTCTAGCCAGCTCGACCGTGTCTGATCGATCGGAAAGAGACCCTTGTGAAAAGAAAATTGTTGTAATAATTGTATATAACTTAAAACATTAAAATAATAATAGATTATGATTCTCCTCTATCGTCCGGTAAGAGGAAGGGGGAGGGTCGTAATAATACACAAACACACACACAAACACACACACACACACACACATATATATATATATATATATATATATATATATATAGTTTTGGTTAGAATTTACACATCAATTAGTTTTCGTTGTGATCCTTTCAAGTTCGGTGGGGTTAATTTCTTGATAGCCTTAGAAAAATGATTAAGAAAAATACATTTTCTTTCAAATAGTTTTTATTTTCCCATGTACTTTCGATATCATCTGAGACCCTCTTCATGTATGAGCAAATATGGAAAAGTTAATTCCTTTATACTGGGGAAAAAAATCACGTGAACTTTGACTTTGTAAACTAGTATGTTGCCTAAGTAGTAAAAATGTATTGAATTTACAGAAACAGATATACATAATCACAGACAACTTAACCTCCTGAAGATGGCCTCAGATGTGATTGAAAGTACATGGGAAAATAAAAAAGAAACTATTTGAAAGAAAATGTATTTTTCTTAATCAATTATATATATATCAATTATATATATATATATATATATATATATATATATATATATATATATATATATATATATATATATATACGTGTGTGTGTGTGTGTGGTTGGATTGATGTGAGTTTATGACTCTGGGTTTCACGCTATTTGCGATCGTCAGACAAACTGATTAATTTTTAAAATTCTGGCCTCATATATGGTTGCGTATATCGGTGTTTTTATGGTAATGGGAGGAAAAATTGTCGTCGGAACACCACTCATACGTACGCAGACATACACACACGCACGTTTACGCATTGTAGCTCACATAAACATAAACATAAATGAACAGTGTGGGACTGGGCACATATGCGCATCCATGTGTCGTTGCGTACATACGTACACAATTGTTTTCTTTTTTTGTTTTTGATGGGGTCTGTGAAAGAATATGGTAGGTAAAATTTTTTATTATCTTAATTTTAATTTTTATTTTAAATGCTGTTTTCTTATTATAATGCCGGTTATTTGCTTGTTTTTAACGATTGCACTTTTGTAAATAGTAGAAACTCTAATTTTTAATATTTATAAGTATTTATGTGGCGGTGTTAATTTTGCTGGGTGAGGAAGACAGTATGATTATGGACTGATGCGTTAATGGTAATTGTGGTGCGTTAGTAATTATGGGCTAACGCGGCAATAGTAATTGTAATGCGGTAGCGTGAAACCTTGGATCACAAACTCACACCAATTCAACTAAATATGTTAGCTCTATCATTGATATTGAGCGCTTTCCAATAAGTACCGCGCATATATAAATAATATATATATAATTACATATATATATTTATATAGATACACATTTTAAACACACACACACACACACGCACACACACACACACGCACACACACGCACACACAGACACACACACAAGACACACACATTATATATATATATATATATATATATATATATATATATATATAAAGATGAAGATGATTCCGACAAGCAGATTGAAAATTGCTGAGTCCACTAAAAAAATTGATCTCCATTCTACCCGCTCCAAAGCTAAGCGCTCAAGGGTTTTATGTGGTATATTGACTGCTGACAAGTTGCTTTTCAGCTTGTCTTTGTATCTTAGCCATGGGCGTCCTACATTCCTGTATCCCTTATCTAACTGGCTGTACATTAGGATCTTGGGTATCCTGTCATCAGACATACTCAAGACATGACCAGTCCACCGTAACTGAGACTGTATGATAAAAGTCTCGATTCCTCCAATATTACACCAGTTAAACAGGTCTACGTTAGATGTCCTATCTTGAAGAATAACTCCACAGACTGCACGCAGACAGCTTTTATGAAAAACATCTAGCTGGCGTACCCGTATGGAGTCCACGACGCTGAGCTATGCAAAAGGATGGCAAGTGCAACAGCTCTGTAAACCTGAATTTTCTTATCCAGTCGAATACCCCGCTCATTCCACAAGCGATGGCGAAGTTTGCCAAAAGCACTGGTAGCCTTAGCAATCCGATGCATGATTTCATCATCTAAAGTTCCACTGTAGTTGACTTTGCTACCAAGATAGGTGAAAGACTTTACATAGTTAAGGGCTTTGTCTTCTACTTTCAATGGTCTCTGGAAATTTGTAGACTGGTGGTTTGGTTTTCTCACCACACAATTGCTTCGGGTAGGACAAGGTTGGTGCACAACTTCTTTATGCTAAGTGTAAGACCAAATGCTTTACATGCAGCAGAGAAACGATTTATTAGATGTTGGGCCTCCTCAAATATATATATATATATATATATATATATATATATATATATATATATATATATATATATGATGCGATGGAAAATTTTCGCCATTTTATATTTTATTTTTTATACTTTTTTTACTCCTGGTACGTACTGTTAGTAATTAATCAGGGTTGGTAGCTTGTTACTTTTTATGTAGCAAATCTACAATATATATATATATATATATATATATATATATATATATATATATATATTTTTTTATGCATAATCAGAAGTAACTTTTGCAATTTTGTTTTTGATTTTTTTTTTTTTTAGTAAGGTTAACAATACCTGGGGACATTCGAGTGGGGTTTCCGTTTGAAGGTCAATTGTGTGTATAGGAGTGTAAGATAACGGGGAATCCTTGCTTTAAACAGGTTAAGATTGCAGTTACAGGTGAAACAACGTGTTGGGAATCGGTTCCACAGGGCAGTGGTTCGCAGGAAGAATCTACTCGAGTGGAACTTATTTCTCACTGATGAGATACGAGGGAATGTGTTGTGGTTTGGTACTATGTAAGTGGCGTGGCGTGTTCTTTGATGGGAAGGTTTGATTTAGCTGGAGTAGGAAATATAATTCGTTCGAGTACTTTCTAAGGAAGTAGCCGCAGAGCAGCGAGAAACTTGCCACATCGCGCCTGTGAGAGAAAGGTTAAAGGGTGAAGAAAAATTCATCATCCACAACTGCTCGGTCTTTTGGTCTCTGGAAAGTGAGGTCTGATCAGCTCCTGTCCACATTTAACAACAGTACTCCATATATATATATATATATATTGTCATTCACAGGCAGACTGTTTCGCTGTATCACAGCTCATCAGTGTGGGTAGACGTCCGGTTGCCTCTAGCTAGGATCGAAACTCCGCATCACTCGGAGAATCTACTCCCAGGCCGTTGGAACATGGCAGGGATGAAGGTGAATTTAAGCGTATTTATTTTTAGACAAACACTCCAGTAATTGAGAGAACTCGATTTATTTTATCGTAGAGTATTGCATTAGTTGCAATAATAGTTTCTGTTTACAAATTCTCACTTTCTCACCAGAGAGCTCAACCGAAATAATTTTTCAGGAGCATATATATTGTCATCCACAGACACTTTTTCGCTGTATCACAGCTCATCAGTGTGGGTAGACATCCGGTTGCCTCTAGCTAGAATCGAAACCTAACGTCAGTCGGAAAATCTACTCTTAAACCGCTGGTGCACGGCAGGGATGAAAGTGAATTTAAACGTATTTAATAACTACCCAGTAATCTTAATTTTTAATTTTTTTTATGTATTCCAATGTTTTATTGAATTTTAGATAATTTGATTTCTCACGAAGATGCTTGTTGAGAAAATTACCAATAGATTTAAATATGTATTCAATGCACTACTCTATAATTTTCTGATAATATCCGTATTTTTAAAAAAAATCGACATGTTTATACACATTTCTGTATATATGTGACGATTTTTTGTCAATTCGAACATCCATACAATAATATTCAAAATTCTTTTTGAATTAATGGGGGATGTTAAATTGTAGTGAGTTTTTCCATTTATGATTAGTAAATACAGTTTTGATCTACTAATGATATTATATTACTTGAAGGCTACAATATAATACACAATTTTAAAAGATTTAAACGTTTATAAATTATTCTAATTCAAAATACGAAAATAGTTCTTGTAAAAATTCATTATTCATCGAAAAATCTTTTTCTTAAGACAATAGTGTCGATAATATATTTTATTGCTAAAAGCAGTTAAAAGCATTTCTAATTCAATAATGTCAGTTTTATTGCATTATTTATTTTACGATTCAGAATAGATTTTCTGTGATTGAGGTACTATTTGATATATATGATGATGCTTTTATACCAATTATATGAAAAAATATTTTGTTCTTTTGGTAATCTCGTAAAATTTGCTGCCCTAAGTGTTCTCTTCCCTTTGTTGTTTTCCCAGCCAACATTATTATTTCCGTTGCCAGGGAATCTTTTCTAGAAGGAGTTGCAATATTAATCCAATATTGACGCGCAAACATCAGAATTTATGTTCTTTGCTGTCACACCAAATTATGACGGGACTAGGAAAACAAATAGGTGTCAAGAGGGGGGCGCCGATAAAACTGAATACTGACAATAGACATTGGCTGTTAATAAACACGTCCAAAGGTAATGGTTCGTGCTAAAAGATCATTGCTAATTAAGTGCAGTGAAAAGCAAG